AAACTAGTGAGCATAGGAAACAGAGTTGACCAGATGGAAGAAAGAATTAGTGATACAGTAGAAATCTAGACATAATGCAGATTTAAGAAGAGAGAGACTTGGGGGTAAAATCAAAACAAAAAGAGAAAACTCAAGAAGTGACTCCATCAAAAAGAGCAATACAAAGAAGAGGAACCCAAAGAGGCCCACACCAAGACACATGATAATTAAAATGCCAAGGGCAAAAGACAACGAGAGAATCTTAAAAGCAGCAAGAGAAAAACAGTTAGTTACCTACAAGGGAGTACCCATACGATTGTCAGCTGATTTCTCAACAGAAACTATGCAGGCCAGAAGGGAGTGGCAAGAAATATTCAAAGTGATGAATACCAAGAACCTACAACAAGAATACTCTACTCAGCAAAGCTCTCATTTAGATTTGAGGGTCAGATAAAGAGCTTCACAAATAAGAAAAAGCTAAAGGAGTTCATCACCACCAAACCTGCATTACATGAAATGATGAAGGATATTCTTAAGAAGAAGAAAAAAGAAAGAAGAAGAAAGAAGAAAGAAGGAAGAAGGAAGAAGAAAGAAGGATGAGGAGGAGAGAGAGAAGGAGGAGGAGGAAGAAGAGGAGGAGGGATAAAAAATATGAACAATAAAATGGTAATAAATACATATCTATCAACAATTGAATCTAAAAGTCAAAATAAATTAACAAGAAATCTAATAAGGAGAGAACCAAAATGACAGCATAAAGTATATACCTATACGTGCTGCCTCCCACAACCACATTAAAACTACAACTAAAAGACAAAACGGCTATCATCCAGAACCATGGAAAAGCTGGCTGAGTGGAAGTTCTACACCTAGGAGGAAGGAAAAAAGCGCATTGAGACTGGGTAGGAGGTGCGGAGGCGCCAAGAGCAGAGGTACGGAGGCGCGTGAAACGGGCTGCAACTGGGTGCGCGTTTTTTTCAATCGGAAGGGAGATACAAGCTCCCAACTGCTTTGAACTCGTTTCTGGCAATACTCTGGGGACCCAGACTCCTATGGGGAGAAACTGGACTGTCTGGCATCGGGTCAAAAAGCGAGGGTGGCTTTCTTGCAGAGTTGTTTTCAGGGATCATTGTTACTGTGGGGGCGTGGGACTAGGGGACTCGGGGATGCGGAGACGGCTGACGGATAGCCATAGCTGTTTGCTCCGCCCTAGTGATTCTCTGAGACCCCGCCCCACCCAATTTATAACCCCACCCAAGCTGTGTGCAGCGGCGCAAATGAATCGCCTGTCCTTTCACAGCCTAACCTAACAAACTGCAGCTGGGTCAGAGAGCTCCAAAACTTCAAACCCCAAACAAAGAGGAGAAATCTGCAGATCTTGCTGTAGCTCCTGCTGGGTGGACTCACAGTGGCTGATTTTGCACCTCCTTGGAGATCCAGGAGCCAGTATACCCAGTGGTCAGATATCGGATTACAACTCCTCACATCCATAAGTGACAGACTCAAGAGGCAGACTCAGTGAGCACCAAAGCCCCACTGAAGTAAGTCCTGCCCCATAAGGGTGTCTCCAGCACAGCAGTTCTTCCACTATAGACACAGCGGGTCCTCGCAGTCAATTGGCCTGGAGGTCATTTCCTCTCAGGGATACCAAAAGCAATCAAAGCTTAACTACAACAAGACTGTGCACCCAGCCCACAAAGGTGCACCAAGAGTGTCCACCTCAGGTGATTGGGGAGGCTGAGCCACTGGGCCCAATAGGACACCTACCACACAAAGCCACTCTATCAACACAGGGAAGCAGTAAAAATGCGGAGACAAAGAAACAGGTCACAAATGAAAGAAATGGAATAAAGCAAAACACTGGATATAGAGTTCAAAACCACAGTTATAATGTTACTTAAGAATCTTCTAGAAACCTCTGGGGAACTTAGTGAGACCTTCAAGGATCTTAATGAGAATGCCAAAAAAAAAAAAAAACCGAAAAGGACCAGTCAGAAATTAAGCATACACTGACTGAAATAAAGAATAATATACAGAGATCCAACAGCAGACTAGAGGATCCCAAGAATCAAGTCAAAGATTTGAAATAGGAGGAAGCAAAAAACACTCATCTTGAAAAGCAAAAAGAAAAAAGAATCCAAAAAATATGAAGACAGTGTAAGGAGCCTCTGGGACAGCTTCAAGCGTACCAACATCTGAATTATGGGGGTGCCAGGAGAAGAGAGAGAGCAAGGTATTTAAAACCTATTTAAAGAAATAATGACAGAAAACTTCCCCAACCTGGTGAAAAAAATAGACTTACAAGTCCAGGAAGTGCAAGTGAAATCCAAAGAGGACCACACAAGACACATCATAATTAAAATGCCAAGGGCAAAAGACAAAGAGAGAATCTTAAAAGCATCAAGAGAAAAACAGTTAGTTACAATTCTCCCCGTGTAACCAAGGTTGCTATCATATTCAGAAACAAAGATGGAGAACCTCCTTTTGAAAGGGATTTGCTCATTCATTGTAAACCAGATCCCAATAATCCAAATGCCACTAAAATGAAACAAATCAATATCCTGTTTCCTACATTAGATGCAATGACATATCCTATTCTTTTTCCACGTGGTGAAAAAGGCTGGGGAACAGATATTGCATTAAGACTCAGAGACAACAGTGTAATCGGCAATAATACTAGACAAAATGTAAGGACACGAGTCACACAAATGCAGTATTATGGATTTCATCTCTCTGTGTGGGACACATTTAATCCTATTTTAAATGCAGGAAAATTAACTCAACAGTTTATTATAAATTCATATTCAAAAATGGAGGCCAATCGGATAAATTTCATCAAAGCAAACCAATCTAAGTTGAGAGTTGAAAAATACAGTGGTTTGATGGATTATCTCAAATCTAGATCTGAAAATGACCATGTGCCGATTGGTAAAATGATAATATTTCCATCATCTTCTGACGGTAGTCCCAGAAATATGCAGCAGCGATATGAGGATGCTATGGCAATTGTAACAAACTATGGCAAGCCCAATTTATTCATAACCATGACATGCAACCCCAAATGGGCAGATATTGCAAACAATTTACAACGCTGGCAAAAAGTTAAAACAGACCTGACTTGGTAGCCAGAGTTTTTAATATTAAGCTGAGTGCTCTTTTAAATGATATCTGTAAATTCCATTTATTTGGCAAAGTAATAGCTAAAATTCATGTCACTGAATTTCAGAAACACAGACTGCCCCATGCTCACATATTATTGATATTAGATAGTGAGTCCAAATTACGTTCCTCTAATTAATTCCCTTTCAATGTGCATGAATTTCGTGCACTGGGCTACTAGTATATACATATATATATATATATATATATATACACATACACACACACACTCACACACACACATACATGTATATACGTGTATATTTATATATCTATATATCTATATACCTATGTATCTATATCTATATCTATATCTAATCTATCTATCTATCTATCTATCTATATATATAAAAGCCTAAGTGACTGACCTATCTATATATATAAAAGCCTAAGTGACTGACCAGTCGCTATGATGCACACTGACCACCAGGGGGCAGACGCTCAACACAGGAGCTGCCCCCTCGTGGTCAGTGCGTTCCCACAGTGGGAGTGCTGCTCAGCTGACCACCGGGCGCCAGACATGGGGCTCACGACTGGCGAGTGCCGCTGCAACGGCGCAAGCCTCTCCCTGTTGGGACTGATTGAACATGAGCCAGTGGCAGGCACAGTGGGGCTGGGATGAGTGGGAGCAGCAGGCAGGAGCAGCAGGTGGCATTGGACTGCCAGTTTCAGCCCAATCCCCACAGGCCGAGCCAAGGGACCCCACCCGTGCACGAACTCGTGCACTGGGCCTCTAGTATAAAAATATAGGACATATTCAAAGTTCAATAATTACTCTCTATTAGGTAAATCAAAGTTATGTAATACTGAAAATACTTCAAAATGTTTCCATTTCAAAAATTATTATTTCTATTATTTGTAAACGAAGCATACATAATATGAATGAATCTGAGAAAAAATTTTTCAAGATTGTATATAAAGTATTTTTCTTTGGGAGGCTTACTTAGCAAAAGTATACTGGCATTTTCTTCTAAAACTGAAAATACACTTATCAATTTGACAAACACACTCTTGGGCATTTATCTCAGAGAAATAAAAACGTATGTTCATGTAAAAACCTGCACACAACAGTACATGGTAGATTTGTTGTAACAGCCAAAAACTGGAAACAACCCAAATGTCCTGAAATGTGACTATGATTAAACAAATTATGATATATCAATGTCATGGAATACTACTCAACAATAAAAAGGGTAACAAAATTATAGAGATGGAGAAGATTAGTGGTTGCTAGAAGTTAGGAGGGTGTTGGTACGAGCACTGTGGTTCTTGTATGTGATTTAATCTCATGCTGTTTTATTTTGTACAGTAACATGTTGCACAGGCTTGTAGCCTAAGAACAATAGGCTGTAAGAAATAGCCTAGATGTATAGTAGGTTATATCATCTAGGTTTGTGTAAGTATAAAACATCTATGATGTTCATACGACAACAAAATCACCTAAAGATTCATTTCTCAGAATGCATCCCATTTGTTAAGTGGCACATAACTGTATATGTATCTGTGTGTGTGTGTGGGGGGGGGGGGGTGCATGTATGTGCATGTGCGTGTGTGTGTGTGTGTGTACATAAACTAAATACAACCTAGATGTCTGAGAATATGGGAATCATTAAAATCTCAAAAACTAGTTATAAAATATGCAGCTACTGATAATGTTGATACTGGTACAAAATTATAAAAGAAAAAGAGAATAAAACAAAATTCAAAATTAGTTCCTATAAATGCATATAAAATAACAGGAAATATTTTTCACGAAAATAAAAGATAATTGTGTTAATGTGACAGAATTCCAGATATTTTTCTTAAACTTTTTTATAGTTGTCATATTATTTTCACAATTAAAGAAATAAGCATACTCTTACCTTATCCCAGAAATCAACCAAAGCTGTAAAGTCCCATTTCTTAGAATATGCCACATTGTATTTCAGAATAGCATCCTATGGAAAAAAACATAAAGAAAACCTCATCATAGAGTCAAGTGAATTATCTATGACTAGACTGTCTTCTTAATGAACTACTTCCAGTAAATTTCTTAATGCTGGACAAACTTCCTCCTACCATTAACTGTTCCACATAAGTAGCTATGAACCATCAGAATGCATACTAACTTATTATTTACTTAAGAAATATGAGATAAGTCAAGGATTAAGGGAAAAACATAATTATTCTAAAGCATACCTTCTAAATAGAGGTAATTAATACAAATTAAGTAGACAAAAATTAGATATTGGGGATTAAAAAATAAAATATTATGATTTCTGGACATTAAAAGGGTCACACTACATATACAGATATACAGTATATTTACAGTATTAAAATTTCAGTCCGGCCTGTGTGGCTCAGTGGTTGAATGTCGACCTATGAACCAAGAGGTCATGGTTAGATTCCCGGTCAGGGAACATGCCCAGGTTGCAGGCTCGATCCCCAGTATGGGGTGTGCAGGTGGCAGCCAATCAATGATTCTCTCTCATCATTGATATTCCTATCTCTCTCCCTCTCCCTTCCTCTCTGAATTCTCTCTCTCTCTCTCTCTCTCTCTCTCTCTCTCTCTCTCTATATATATATATATATATATATATATATATATATAAAATTTTAAGGTCATAGGGACAGTAAATTAGGAAACAAATATGAGAAAAGGATCCCTGATGGAAAGGGCAATAATAAAAAAATAATTGAGAGACATTGCCACAAAGCACAAAATGGTATTTTTCCTTTATTATCCACTATTTTTATAAGCTATATATTAATAGTATCTTCCCCCAGCAGTTCACACAAACTAAGGATTTATGTAGAATGAAAAGTTAAAATAGTTCGCCATCTACTGGTATAACATTTAACTGTCGGAATAGGCAGTACTTTATAACTGGTTAGTCGTATTAAAAATAAGACAATAGTCCCCAAAACAGAGACACATGCTGAACCCCACGTCACCAAACCAAACTTAATTACAGTTTTGGCTCTCCCACAAACAGAATCTTAAACCAGTCAATCAGGAATCACCTGGATGGCACTAGTGAGGTTATCTGCCTGATAGACCCTTGCCATTCCCTGAAGGAAAGTGACCTTGCAACAACCAATCCATTTTGCTACTATAACTTCCTTGTTCCCACTCCCTTCGTTTTTATAAGCCTTTATCTTGCACAGCTCCTTGGAGCTCCTTTCTATCTGTTGCCCAAATTCATGAATTGTTGAATAAAGCTGTTAAGATCTTTAAAATGTACTCAGTTGAATTTTGTTTTTTTAACCTTAGAGTAGGTTATGCATAAGACAATCCATTTTGCAGAAAGAACTGTTATTTACAATTATGTTTTATTTCATTTCTTTTAAATTTCCATTTTGATTATATTTTATAATGTGTATATCTCAATAAAGTAATAAATATGTAGAATTTATAAATAACTGTTAATACTTATAATACATACCCCCAAATTTGTTTTACTGTAAGTGTAGGTAAATCTGAAAAACACGGTTAGATCATTACTACAAATCTTCCAAATTTCTTCATCACTAAAGAAGTTTTAAAAAATTAACTCTGCCAAAGAGCTTCCTAAAAAATACTTCATGCCATATAAATAATCACCATGCATCTATCTAGGTTAAAAACTGAGCCAACAAGTGTGTATTATTTACTTGGAATCAGGGGATATTCACGTTCTTTCAAAAAGGAGATGGGGGTATCAACCATAAAATAACATGGCCAAAAAAATTTATTTTTCTCTCACAGCCATAATATAAGATTTTCCATTAGAAAGAGAGAAAAAAAATTTGAAGAATTTTTTTTTTCTAATCGCTTGTAACTGATTTCAGAACCTCAAAGTATTAAATAGCAGTGTCTATCAACAGGTGAATGGACAAACAATGCATATACTGGGACAAACGCATATAGCTGATACACAAAACAACATGGATAAATCTCAAAAATCTTCATTCTACATACTATGTGAATCCATTCATGTAAAAATGGAAACACACTGAAAAAAGCAGATCAATAGTTGACTGGCACCAGTGCAGAAAGAAGACTCAACCACAAAGGGGCAAGAGGAATCTTTGGTGGTGACAGGAACATTCTGTATCTTGACTGTAGTGGGGACTTAACAGATGTATGCAAACCTCAGCAGATTACATATTTTAAAAACATGCACTTTCTTATATGTAAATTATTCCTCAAAGTTGATAAGAAAAAACACTTTAAGTAGCGTTTACACTCTTATTTAATGGGGTTTTATAATTAGTATTAACTCTTAACATCTACTTTTACTTCAGTCTTCAGGTCTCAAAAGTAGTCTACTATGAGGTCTCCTATCATTCTCTATTCAAGCTATCAATTTCTAAGTGAGTTTTTAGTTCATAAATCATGATAGCACAATTCAGTAAAGCACAAAGAAGTCCACCCTTGCAAATTATCCGACACTTCACTTACAGAAATATTACTACGTAAATCAACTTTTGAGGACATTGCTCCTTTTAAAATTTTAACATCTCTAAGCTCTCTTAAATCAACACCAAATGCATAAAAACAGCAAAAAGAGTATATTTACAGGGTGGGGCAAAAGTAGGCTTACTGTTGTTCATATGGAAAATACAATCTACTTATATAAAAACCCTTGGTGTAACATCATGGCCAGAAGCTCGACCAACCAGAAGGAAGTCAGTCCTGTAGGGGTTGTCTTGGAAACAGCTGCACCCTCCCCCAGCTGTTTCCCCGGAGGGCGAGGTTTCAGGCAGGAACCCGCCTCAGAGCAGAGCGTGGTTCCTGGGTTGCCTTGCCAAGGGCTTCGCCTCACCAAGCTGTTTCCCACGAGGCCTGAGGGAAGAACCCACCCTCGGAGCACCAGGAGCGCCCAGCAGCAGGCAGTCCTTAGTTGCTGAGGCAGAAGCCACAGCGTGGTACAACTCTGGGTCTGGCCCAACTGGGGACGTGGCCGGCCTTCAAACCAGGCCCATTCCTCACAAAATCTGCTGTTGGATAGCTCGCTGTCAGTGGCCTGCCAGCCAGGAACCCCATTCACCTGCACCCTGGACCCTGACAGGAGGGAGGAGGGAGCCCCATTCCTCACAGAATTGACAGGTGGCCAGCTAGCTGTCAGGGGCCTGCCAACTAGGAATCCTATTCACCTGCATATCTGTGTAAAGTTTTAATACATTATATTAGAGGTCGTGGTGGTACTGTTTTACCCACAGCATCTACAGGAATTGCTGCAAATTTACTTCTCGGTGGAAGCACCTTTCATTTCCAATATAAATTACCGATTCCATTAAATGAAACTTCAATTTCTAGACTCAATATAAACAGTGAAGTTGCTAAAACTATTAAAAAGGCCCAACTTCTCATTATTGATGAATGCACCATGGCATCCAGTCATGCTATAAACGCCATAGACAGATTACAAAGAGAAATTTGAATGTTGTATTTGGTGGGAAAGTTCTCCTTCTTGGAGGAGATTTTTGACAATGTCTCAATGTGATCGGCCATAGTACAAACGAGTTTAAAGTACTGCAATGTTTGGGGATGTTTCAGAAAGTTGTCTCTTACAACAAATATGAGATCAGAGGATTCTGCTTATAGTGGATTGTTAGTAAAACTTGGAGATGGCAAACTTGATAGCAGTTTTCATTTAGGAATGGTTATTATTGAAATCCCCTGTGAAATGATTTGTAATGGATCTATTATTAAAGCTACCTTTGGAAATACTATATCTGTAGATAATATTAAAAATATATCTAAACGTGCAATTCTTTGTCCAAAAAATGAGCATGTTCAAAAATTAAATGAAGAAAATTTGGATATACTCGATGGAGATTTTCACACATATTTGGATGATGATTCCACTGATTCCACAGATGATGCTGAAAAGGAAAATTTTCCCATCGAATTTCTTAATAGTATTACTCCTTCGGGAATACCATGTCATAAATTAAAATTGAAAGTGGGTGCAGAGAACCAAGATGGCGGCATAGGTTAATGCCGGAGTTTGCTGCCTTGAACAACTACTTCAAAAGTGAAACTAAAAAACGGAACGGACATCACCCAGAACCACAGGAACGCTGGCTGAGTGGAAGTCCTACAACTAGGAGGAAAGAGAAACGCATACGGACACTCAGAGGAGGCGCAGTGCTGAAGTCAAATTCTGAGGTGCGGAGTGCGCGGAGCGGGCTGGCGGCGGAGGGCGTGGTTGGCGTTTTCAATCGGGAGGGAGTCGCAGACTCTGAGCTCCAGATACAGGCGAGTCTTTAGGGACCCAGACTCAAACGGGAGAAGCGGGACTGTCTGGCTTTGGTCAGAGCGAGTGCAGCTTTCTCTCCGAGGTTTGCAGCGGGTGCTGGAACTCAGAGAGGCAGAGCCCCTGGGGACAGGACTGAGAGCCGCCATAACTGCTCTCTCCGGCCCACCCTATTGACCCTGTGTGACCCGCCCCACCCAAGCCCTGCACATAGGCATTTGCCAGATAGCCTCAGGCAAAGGCTAGATTAGCACCTCCCTAGAGGACAGAAGTTCTCTCACTGCAGACACAGCTGATTCTCATAGCCACTTGGCCTGGAGGTCAAACCCTCCCTGGTATTAGCTACAACAATGAAGGCTTAACTACAAGACTGCGCACAAAGACCACTAGGGGGTGCACCAAGGAAGCGTAACAAACTGCGGAGACAAAGAAACAGGACAAAATTGTCAATGGAAGATATAGAGTTCAGAACCACACTTTTAAGGTCTCTCAAGAACTGTTTAGAAGCCGCCGATAAACTTAATGAGATCTACAAGAAAACTAATGAGACCCTCGATGTTATGATGGGGAACCAACTAGAAATTAAGCATACACCGACTGAAATAACGAATATTATACAGACTCCCGACAGCAGACCAGAGGACCGCAAGAATCAAGTCAATGATTTGAAATGCGAGGAAGCAAAAAACACCCAACCGGAAAAGCAAAATGAA